TACCCATGTTCTATCCACTGTAATGAAAGGAAAACTGATCTCTCCATCATCATATAAATTGATCTCTGTGACTAGGCAAGGAGTCAGAGCAGTGATGATAATGACCCTGTAAGAGTATTAGACCTAATACCCTGAGGCATTAACCTTTGTTTAACCAAAAGGTAAATCTTCTGATGAAAGACAACATTTTATTACTATCCACCTGCAACAAATAGCTCCTTTCTTACTACTATAACTCAGCTGCAGATACCAAAGAGCAAAACTTGCACTTTACATTTGGAGGCTCTTGAGTAATTCACAGGGAGGTCATGGATCAAAACTGATTATATAGTGATGATGATCAAGTCCTGCAAGGTTCTATGCCCTGCACAGAGGGGTAAATGTAGCAGCTGAAACTGGTAAAGAGAGATGGAGGCTGTGAACAAATTGCCCTGGTAAAGAATACTGGCTGAGTTGCAGGAGGAAGGTGGGCAAACAGGAAAGATGTTCTTGGTTTGTGGGGCAGTACTGATCCTTTCAGTCACCCCATTATTAATTTTTTTCTGAGAGAACCTACATAAAACTGAGTAGTTACTTCCATTATCTCAGTTCAGAAACAGCTAAAAATTCTAGAGTTAGTAGTACTTTTCCATGGAATTTAAATTAGTGTATAGCAAGATTATGTTGCCAAAAGCTCATCAAGTGCAATCTCACTCCAATCATCACTGTTTGCTCCAACTTCAGCAGTGTTTTGAGAGCACCACATTTTTAAGCAAACACGGTAAGTCAGCATTATTTCAGGTATTTCCTTGCATATTTCCCTGCCCTGTAAGATCAATTTCCACCCCTAAGCATGTGCCCCTGCATTGTCTCATGACAAATGGTTTTCTGTGGTGCTCTGAATATCCAGCCTTGGTTGTACCTCCTCAGTTTCTACCACAACACAGTCTCAAGTTTTGATTTTCTTGCAACAGAGTTTATTTTTCTTTATTGAAAGCAAATGTCATTGGGGCCTTTGAAATCCTTGTGTCTACATGGCAGGTCACACAAAACAGCACTGCTTTCCAAATTTAATATTCTTTAATGTATTTGTTAACAGAACATTGACATCTGCTTAATGCTTTCTTTGCAAGAATCTATCAGATCTCCCTTTATGCATTTCTTGCCAAACTCAGCTCTTTTTTCTGCATTTACAAAACAGGACATGAAGCAAGAAACAACACAGCCTAAAGTTCCAGAGCTAAAATCTAACATGAACCCTTTTTCCAAAAAATATTATTTTGAGAAATGCATCTGCCCTTTCAAAAGCTTTGAATCATGGTCATCTCACGCACTGAGCTGCTGTTTAAAAAAAAAGTCACCCATTTTTTGTAATGCTACAAAGCAGAGAAAAACAACAAACTAAGGGATAGATAGTTGATATATAGCTATCCTTTTCATGCCAACACTTTCAGCAATGCTCCAGAGTAAATCAGGTGCCTCATTGGAGAGAATTTTTGGCAGCTTAAAAAGAAACAGCAGCAACTCAAGTGTGTTTCTGAACCTCACTTATAAAACCAGTCTCACGTACTGTAAAATCTCCTCTGGTATTTTTAACCCTTGGGCTCCCATAGGTTTTTTTGCATTTTGTCAAAACAAAGGAATGTGAGGGAGATGTCTGTTAGACTCCTTTATCCAGCCCAAGGGTTAATTACTCAGTTTTGTAGACATTTGAAAATATTATGCTACCTCTAATGGCAAAATTGATAGAAGCTTGTTTCAGGCTCACTTTATGTCATTATGGCAGATTAAATTAACTAATCATAAATTATGCTGGCTAAAGTACATCTGCTACTCACTAAACCTGCAGAGAGAATGGAAGGGTCTTTCTACTGAATAAGAAATAAATGCCATGCACAAAATTAAAGACTTTTACAAACCAATAAACATACGTTCAAGGAACAAAAGCTGGAAGCATCCCAAAGTCAGCAGCAACAGATTCTGAGGGCCATGGCAGCAGTCTAACAATGAACCTGTAGCTGTTGTGGAAAAGCATCAACACTGCAATGCTGCAGGGGTATACCCATGGATCAAAGAGTAAAGAGGTCCATTAAAGAACAAATAAGATCAATTAAACAAGAATTAGCATGCTCACATTATTGCTAGAGGTCTTGGAATACAATATGACTGTAGTGTTTTGACCGTGGCTGGATGCCAGGTACCCACCAAAGCCCTCTGTCACTCCTCTCTGCAGAAGGACAAGGGAGTGAAAATGTAATGAAGGGTTAATGGGTTGCGATAAGGGTTGGGAGAGATTGCTTGCTAAAAATCTTCACTGGCAAAACAGGATAGAATTAGAAATGCTAATTGAATTTATTGCTAACAAAATCAGGGCAGGATAATGAGAAAAAAAATAAGGCCTTAAAAACACCTTCCTTCCAGCCCTCCCTCCTACCCAGCTCTACTTCCTCCCACTCCAGCCCAGGGAAACTGGGAATGGGGGCTACTGTCAGACCATCAGGCAGAACAGATTATTCCTGCCACTGCTTAGGAAGAGGAGTCCTTCCCCTGCTCCAGCTGGGGGTCCCTCCCATGGGACACAGTTCTCCATGAATTTCTTCAGCATGAGTCCATCCCATGGCAACAGTTCTCCACAAACTGCTCCAGGGTCACACTTTCACACAGCGCGGTCCTTCAAGGACAAGCTGCTCCAGTGTGAGTCCCCACCATGATCACAAGTCCTACCAGGATACCTGCTCCAGCACAGGTTCCTCTCCACAGGTCTGCAGGTCCCAGCAGGACCATGTCCCAGCATGGGCCTCCCACAGGATCACAGTCTCCTCTCAAGCATCCACCTGCTCTGGTGTGGGCTCCTCCCTGGGCTGCAGGCGGATCCCTGCGTCCCCATGGTCCTCCCGGTCTGCAGGGGCGCAGCCACTTCACCATGGTCTGCACCATGGGCTGCAGGGGAACCTCTGTTTCACCACCTCCTCCCCCTCCTTCTCCACTGACCTTGCCCGGTGTCCGCAGGGCGGCTCCTCTCACATATTCTCACTCTGCTCTTCTCTGGCTACAATTACAACTGTGCAATAGTTTGCCTGCTTTTTTAGTCTATTTAAATACTTTATCACAGAAGTGTTACCATTTCTAATTGGCTCAGCCTTCGGCAGTGTTTGATCTTGAAGCCACCAGGGAATGGAGCTGCTAGACATGGGGGAAGCCTCTGGAAGCTTCTCATAGAAGCCACCCCTGTGGCCACCTCCACCACACCAAAATTTGTAAACCCAATACAATGACATGATGTTTGCAGCATCTCCTTCCAATGTCAGCTATTCTATTTTCTGTTCAAAGGGACTGTTTGAACATTTCTGTAGTCTTTTAAGGAAGGGGTGGATGAGCAGATCACTGATCAAGAAGACAATACAGATTTTACAGGGATCCCCTTCTTACTCTCTGTATTGCAGAATGCAGATGTGACAGCTAATACTGTGTCAGTGGGACTAAATTCCCTAGCAGGGCATGAAATACTGAAGTTAGAGATGTGTGAGGAATGGACATAAAACACAGGGAATCAAGACCTCTTTGTTGCAAAGTAAAGAATGAGTCCCTCTCTGAAAACTCATGGTAGACCAGCTCGATCAATACCACTAAATGAGGATTCCCTTTCTTTTGGGCTAATATAAGGAAGAAAAGCAATATTGTATCATAGTGTATTAAATTTACACATGTAGTTGTCAGTTAAAAAGCAGAATATAGTTTTGGGGTGACCACATAGATTGTTTCTAGGAAACAAACTCTGCTGAACACCTCCAAAAAGATTCCAAGTAAGATGATCAGCCATGTGACCATGTTCAGAGGAGGGTAAACAAAATTTTGACACATCTCTTGTGTTCCTTTAGGTCCCATGAAGCTTTGGGGGCATCTGAATACCCCAAACATAGTTAAAGTGCAAATTCTCAACACATTATAATCTTCTGGAAAGGTGCAGCACTTTCTGTTCACCTATTCCCAGGTTCATTCTCCATCAGTCCCTTGAGGCAGATGAGGCTCTTAGTACCATCTGAGTCCTTTTCCCTCACAGTTCCTTTCCATTTCACATTCTCTGAACAGTATTACCGTACCACCTTCCATGCATGATGCATACAGCTATAAAAAAGTCACAAGGAAGGAAATCTAGCTACAGGATTTAGAGGAAAGCAGTAAGGAAGAGAATTGTGTCCCTCACCATCATGCAGAAGGCAATGATAAGGTTTAGTCCTGCAGTGGGAAAAAAAAAAATCTAAAAACTTCCCCTGAAAATAAAAGAAAGCTTAGATCACCATCAGTCACTGGATAACCTATTTTAAGCCCATCAGAGCCAGTGCACTGTTCTCATGTTGCTAATTAAAAATGATAGATTCATCAATTAATCTCTCTTCCTGTCCTCTAGTCTTAGTATGAAATTTTTCAAAGGGACAAATGGTCATTAGGTGCCCACAAGTATCATTTCAGCCCTGCAAACTTGTGCCTTTGTCAACATGAACCAGAACCTGTCTCTTCATGCCATGAATGACAAAAAGAAAAAGCTTAGAAAGATCTGCCACCCTGACAAACATAACAGATTTATAATGGGGAAATAATCTTATCCTCCGTACAATGAACATTGCTTCATAAATCCTCCCCGGGCTCCAATCCGAACTTGCTCGCTGATGAATAAGCCTCTGTTAAATGTGGCAGAGAGAGATGTCCTAGACTTAGTCTCTTGATTGAAACTCAATTGCAATATTACTACATAGCAGTCAGAGATCTTCCACTATTTAGGAAAGAAGCCATGAAGGCAATCTATTTTTATTCATATTGAAATGGAGACAAAGATAAAGGTCCTGCTGTTAGCTTAGCAAAGTGCCAGTCACATAAAGCATGCCAATGACAATGGTTATCCTTTCCTCTTTCAATATAAGTATCACCAGGCAGAGAAATAGAATTGGGGTGTACAAGGTTAACAAGCCAGCATCATGTTATGAAGCAAGTGATAAAATTGTCTTATAGTTCTTAACTCTGACCTGTTCCAGTGAAAAGCTGCCAAGCAGAATTATGTCATTCTGAACATCTCTCTCAAACTGTTCGATATATGAAGGAATCTCTTCATCTTCAAGCTCCCTGTGAAGGTCACATGCCTTACTGGAGCTGACAGGCGTTACAGCGTCCGGAAAATCTTCACTGACAACGCGGGCTGCTGGAAACAAAAGTGGCAGACTATCTCTCAGCAAATGGGAGCTCATTCACTGGTTACTACCCTCTCAGTTAGCATGTTTGGCCCACCAACACTTAAAGTATGAACAGCATCAGTAAGACAACTGACAGGTGCCAAGTGCCAGTGCCAGGAAAAGTGTCCTCAAGTGCAACATCTGAATTCAGGTACAAATTAGTATGTGCAGCTTGTTCCTTACGTAGTTCTTAAAAGGCATGATCTACATTTCCACTGGCACTTTGCTCACCTGTTAATCTTAGAGGGATTGGGATTTGGAACAACTTTAGCATTCCTTCCTGTGGAAGAGGAGTAATAACTGCAATTGAATGGGAGTTTTAGGTGAAGCCACATCAAGCATTTCATCTTCCTTTCAACTCATCACAAACGATTGGATTCCTTTCCCTAGGTGTATGCGTGCAGCTCCTGTCTAATTAACTGGGTCCAGTTCTCCTCTCACCCACAACACTCCCCCGATTTCACTACAGTAACATATGCAGAATAAAAGGGTACATGCACCACATAAATAAAAATCTCATTCATAATCAGCCTTAAAGAGAAACTTGGTCTTTTTTCAGTTTAATTGATCATGCTATGTTAAAAAAAATTTAGATCCTCTCATCGATGTCTGCTGTAGTACTAATACTAGTTTGGATCATAAGTAATAACAACTATTTTTGTTCATGTCTCCACATTAGGATCATTTAAAAATAACAGATATCAGATTGCTCACATCTATCTATCTTGCTTCATATTTCTGTGTGTAAGCTTTTATAGTTCTCTGTGCCTATCTCTTAAAGAAATTGCCATATCTAGTTATTTGCTTCTCTTTGTCCATCCTACAACATGAAAGCAGTTAAAAGAGAGGTTTTTTTCCCTCAGCCTCCTTTGAAGTCTTTCATTCTCTAATGAAGACCAGAAAAGGAAAGATAAAACTAAGGCTATTAACATTTCCAGTTTTGCTCACTGCTTATTGTTTAATGACTTTAATTGTTAAGCCTCCCGAGTACTTAAATCACCTCAGTGCCACCAACACACAGGAAGTAGGGTGGGTTTTCTATTTAATTACAACAGGATACAATTCAAAATCATGTTGGGGGAAATGTACAGTAGATATAAACAACTCAAACCATTACCTTAGGGTACACATCCCTTCATGTAGCACTTTACAAACCTAATGAAAAGTGATTTGACCTACAACTATTAACTGCAAAAACAAAACAATATTTACATTTAAATTTACTGTAACATTAAGGGTTTGGCTAGGAGAGAGAAAACCCAGGAAGCACAGGAAAAAGAAACATTGCCAAAAGCAGAAGATGGAGCATCTCTTGTTCCCCTTGACGCTGTGCTGTACACAACAGGCCATATGCTCAGCTGGTATAAATCAGCTGCTTTACTGCTTTCACAGGAGCACTGCAAGTTTACATCCTGGGAAGTCAGTAGATTCAGGATAGAGCTAGAGTCAAAAAGGGAGTAAAACTATTTGGTTCAGAAAGATAATCATGAAGCAATTCATCAAAATATACTTTTTCTTTTTTGTGTTTCTTATTTTTGTGAGGAATCATATCAAGTTTACTCAATTTTGGTGGAAGACACTGGACTCAGCATAAATTTTGTCAAAAAAGAGCAAAAGAAATGAGCATTTTCAAAGCCTTTTAATGGGAAGCAACTCTGAAAAATAATGTGATAAATTACAATTTAGATTTGAGAAATATTTGATTAAAAGATACATATGCTCATTTAAGCACAGTTGCTAATTTTTCTGCACTGGAAACAAGGAGAGAACAGGGTTAGTTCAGCTGATCTGCTCCTTCTGCAGTGTCTTTGCAAAGAAACTTCTCAAACTTGGTCAGCATCAGGTTGGTCCTTGCTTGAACTGATCATGGGTTGGAGGACTGAGGTCATGCTCCAGAGCAATACTTGACCAAAAGAAAAGCAACCAAATCCTCACTCTACAAAAGTAGTCAGAGTCAAAAATTCTACTACTTTGTTCACAGAGGATAAAATGGCTGAAAATTCATTAATGAACTGCTAAACTAATTAAAAACTTCCTGCTTGAAGTTGTTAGCATGGGCATCAAAATTTTCATTGCTTTGGATGTACATAACTCTGAGAGTCATGCTTTCCTTGTAGCTTAAATCACTTCAGCACAGGCTGTATTTGCAGATGCTGGACTGTAATTAAAACAATCTCTCCGGTATTAGCTTGACTGCTTGTTCCTTCATTTACTTGCTGCTATCTGCATTTGTCCATCCAGATAGCTGCAGTTTATATACTGAGATGATAATTTAAAGGGTACATTCAGTAGCAGAGTACACCTCAGGATGGGTTTGATAAAGCTTCAACAAACTCCATATGGAAAAATAATTTTGGCTACCTGGTCTAGAAAACCATGGATTAATGGACAAATTGTATCTAAAAACATTCAGTGCTGAAGGTTCATGCACCAGGGTCATACAACTAAAATTCTGTAAAACTTGGCACTTCAATTTTTTGGTTCTTGCCAAAGAACAATATAATAGAAATTACTTTTTATGGCATTCATATATCATCACTTAAATTGTTCATGGATCACAACTGCATATTGACAAAAATGCAAGGTAAAAATATGTATTCTATATCTTTAAAAACAAACCACCAATGTTGCCTTTAAAGTTGCCTTATAATATGAAATAACACATACCACAAGAGTGACCAACAGGTTATTCAGCCACAAAATGCTTTAAATATACAATTATATAAATTCTGAGCCATCTTCTTTCCTTTCCTTTGGGGATCATCTATTAATTAGGAATGTATGACTACGTGATTTTTCAGCTCAGTGGCCAAATGAAGAAATGAAGCAGTTCTATAAGAGTGGAACCAAATGAATCCTGGTTTTCTATGGCTTTTCTGATGCTAATAAGGGTCAAACTCTATGTTAGCTTTTCTTTCGGTGGAGGTATTAATAATGCTTGTCTGCTCTGCTCAACTGCCCACTTCCATAAAACTGGTAGGGAAGTCATACCTGCGAGACTTGCTCCCTGTTAAAAAAAAAGGGGTTGGAAGTGACCAACTGGTTCAAATACTGGGAGGGAAAAACACAGGCAGAAATAAATACACCCTGATATATGCACAGAGGTGGAAACTGCACAAGCTTCACATCCCCAGGAAAATCTCTCCTTTCTGGGTTTGCTTCACCCAAGCAAAGAAAAGTAATAAATTCAGCTAGAACAGTGTGCAGCTTCACCCACAGGACTAGCTCTGATACCCATCATGGCCCTTTTAAGAAATAAAAGCACCGAGGCACAGCTTGAGACACACGACAGCAGGGGCCTGCAGTACGTCCCCCATTTGCTGCGCTCACGCCTGCACAGGGGGCTCTGACGTGCACATGGAGAGTGAGGCACACATGCTGATGCATTTTCTTGTCCCAGAATTGACATTAACGTAGAACAATTGAGATAATGCTAATAAGTTAAAGGTTTTTGCTTAAACTATCTGCGTGAATTTAGTTGTGATGGCTGCACTTTTTTCTTCTTGCATTTAAATGAGATAAAATGGGTTTCAAAGATGTTACTGATATGACCAGTGCCAGTTCAAGAGATTTTGCAACAGTAGGCAAATGAAAACATTTGCTTCCTCCAGAACAAAGTTGCTTATAAACTAAATAGTCATAAAACAAGTTGCAGCTCCTGGAGCTCCAGTGCCGTAGGCAACGGCCTGCTCTGTCTCTCTGACAAAGTAGGCCCGTGTACTGCTGAAATACAACAGGAAGCCTCATACAGACACAAAGGATACAAAATAATTTTGCAAGAAAGACAACTGCTGAAAAAGGAGAGGGTGGATAGGCAAAAAATACAAGGATGGGTCTGAGCTGGGCTCGTGCAAAAATCACTTCTCCTGGGATGAACCAGAGGAGAGCAGCAGACATGGGCCTTGTGTAAAGGCTAAGATGGTAAAGGTCTCATGAATCAGTCAGGTTTTAAGTAATGCCTTAAATGCCTTAAAAATGATGAAATCAAAGTTTCTCTTTGAGGTAAAGAAATGATTGTTCACTTGAGGTGAAGAAATCTCATATACTTAATTGTTTTTACTGTAGATGGAGCATCAATTTGTATTTTCTAAGAGAGCCACAGAAAACACTTTCTTACTCGTCTGTTAGCGTAAATTCTTGTATAGATAACCTGAAACAGTGTAACATGACCCATGCATCAGACTAATTGCCTTTTGTAGGAAATCCTACAAAAGGATTTCCATTTCTAGATTTGAACACATAAGCAATGATATTTCCAGCCTTCTTTTTTAAGTGTGGAATTCAACATGCAGTGAAGCAATGTAGAGAAAGCACGCCACTTAAGTTACAGTTAAAACCACATAAACATGACACAAAACAAAAACATTTGGAGAAAAAGACCTTACAGAATTGCATTAAAATCATCATCCCTTTGACTTCTGAGTTCAAGGGGATGGATTACCCTCTCTCCTCCCCACATGCAGACTCAAAAGAGTTTTATTTTTCTTTATGCAATTGACTTTGTTATTTACCTTGGAAGTCCAGCATCTTGTTTTCTTCATCTAGAAGCTTCATCAGTTTAGAGTAAAGGATTTGCTCATCAAATTTCACAGGATCTTTAAAAAACAACAGCGAAACAGCTATAGTTTCTTTCAGTAACAATAATTTCTTTCAGAAATATCAGTAATATTTCAGGAAGTACTATTTTAAATTGAAAGTAAAGATATAAAAATACAAAAGTTAGGAAGCCCTTTGACACTTGAAGATAGTTTTTACAGCGCTAGTTTCATAGCTCAGAATAAAATTACAGTCACTTGTTTGAAGCAAGACAATTCAAAATAAAAAATATAGTCATATACTTTTAAATGATGGGCAACATTATATGTTGATCTGGACTGAAACTGGTTTATAAATTCTGCTAGTAGAGCAGCTGAAATGACTGTTTATATTCAGATTGCCAGATGAATTATATTTGACTCTTAATGAAAATCAAAATACTCAATTTATTCTAATATGATTTTGGATCTTCACTAGAAATTACTAACACATTATCTAGTATGTATAGTCATTACAACACTCTATGAATTTTGAATTTGTGGCTGGTCAGTCATTCAAATTTTCAGTAATATCTGCAGATTTTTATAAGCAGCAAAGGACATGCACACTTACCCTTTTCCATGAGACCTGGAAAAAAAAAATTACTTAAAGGTTCTACATTCAAGGAAGAAATGAGCAATTGGGACCATTTTCTCTCCAGATCTCCCAGACCCTGACTTCTCTAAGTTGTCAGTGAAGACAGGCAGAAGAAGACCAAAGAAATGCATAAGGCAGATTGAAGTACAGCTACATGCAAACTTGGGTGGCTCTTTTTTAAGTGCTCAATAGAATCTCAAAGAATAAATTTCTTTTTCCCATGAAATTTCAGAGGCAAGTTTTTCAATTACACGGATCTTTCAAAGAATGTAGTGGCTTCTGCAAGCTCTTCTGAAAGTGTAGAATCTCTTACTTTTCTTTTAGCCTGCAACATTGAAACGTTCCCTTGTCAAGGGGGGAAGCAAATCCACAGTGGTACATTGTTTGCTCTCATGGCGTTATGAACTCATACAAATTTCCAGAACAAATCTAATTTATCAAATATAGGAAAAATAATTGCCAATAGCTTAATTCTCAGAGAATAACCCATTAGATAATAGTTAGTGGCTGAAGATTTGCTTTTCACCAGATATTCTCTTTGGCCATTGAGCCTGGCTTCCTAAAGTTCTAAAAGTCTGACTTCAACATGTGCCCTGATTTCTTCATGTTTTTCTGGTTTTGTCTCTTGCTCATGAGAACCTGTAAAGAAGAGGTAAACCAGTATGGTTTCCAATCAAGGGATGACCATGCAGGACCAAGCTTTAGTTCTGACCATCTTTTTTTAATCCATCCACTACATACAAATACACTTCCACAAATTTAACACTTCTTCAAGGAAAAAGAAGCCAGACAGTGGTTTGTAAGTACTGACAAATCAGACTGCTTAAGGTAGGAAGGCACCTCTGGAGTCCATCTAGTCCAGTTTCCCCTGCTTAAAAAGAGCCAAGGTGCCCAGGACCATGTCCAGGCACCTTTTCAATATCTGCAAGGTAAATGTTTTGCTCTTGGCAGAGGTATTGGTAAATGTAGCATTATAACTGCTCTACAGAGGTCCACACAGCCAACCTGAGGCTGGCACTATTGCTATTTGACTTTTAATAAGCAAGAGTTATCCGAACATTTGAGCAAAATTTTTGCCAGGGAGACAAAGGAGGGCCACCAAAAAACAGCTCTTCACACATGGACCTCAGGCTTAGCATGATATTGACTAAAACCATCTCTCCAAACCAAACCCTGGAAGTCTATGGACTAAGAGCCTGTTCCAAATTCTAAATTAAATAAACCCCCACCACACAATACAAAATCAGCATTTATGACTAAGTTTATCACTCAGCCTCTTCAACACAGTCTAGAGAACATTTCCTCCCAACGAGAACTGTATTTCCGTATATCCTTTATGTCACCGCTCTGTCCGTACATGATTTCAGGCATACATGCACAGATACATAAATCTAATCTGCTTTTCATTCTCTGGTTATGAAGCAGATCATGACTCATAAAGCCTTTTCATAAGATGAAACAAGGCAGAAGCAACAGGAAAAAAGTCTTTCCTTTAAAAACTCTGAGCCAGAAGTTGACTTCCAAGATATTACACTGCTATTCTACACAATGAATGGGGAAATAATTTGGATTAGATATAACTCAGCCTTGATCAACCTTGATTTTTTTTTTCACCAGAACACAGAAATTCAAGTCAGTTATATGCAACAGAGCCTGCTTTTTTCAATCACACAAGTTTTTGTCTCAAAGTTTTAAAACTTCCATGTGTGCTCAGAGTTTCTCATGACTTTCAGAAGTGAACAACTCTGAGACACAACAGATAACTTTTTGTTAGATCTGACTACAGCTGTGCACCTAGAGGGTCTCTGCAGTAGAAATAAGCACAGGCTCTAGAGAAGCCAAGGGCTAGCAAGGTAAAACAGGAGATCTGGCTCTTGCGTGCTTTCGGCTTGTTAGTGCTTAGCAACAGGAGCCGGGCCAAAGCACTCAGTGCATAGCTAAGCACTTCATTACCATGATGATGCTCTTACTTAAGTCCATGCAAATTCAGGCAGGCCCGTTCCCACCCTTTTTATCTAAAAGCCGTGACAGCAGAGGAGAATTTCCTCTGCTAGACAATACCTCCTGGTTAATCTCTCTCATACCTATGCATAACTTCTGCTCTTCCAGCTCTGCGGAGTCACACCCTCCCACCGGTTGTTATCGCCCACAAAGAGCAAAGCTAAATATCTCGCCTAAACTGGCAAAAAAGAAAACCAAAAAAGCCTCCTCGCGCACTTCTACTAACTCTGGGGTTTCCTTCTGTTAGGCAAACACACATTCAACTCTGTAATAAAATTGCTGTCCGAGGAGGACTTTGGGAGCAGGATTGTGAAAAAGCTAGAGCTTAGCACTCAGTTCTGGACTAACTTCATTAATTAAAAAGAACATGGTGTAGAAAACGCTCACGGAGTGTGCTTAATTTTGTTACAGTAGCAGAGTGAATCCAGAACAGGTTCATTTTTACCTGCCCATTAACTCACTGTCCTTGATCAAAGTCTGTGTACTCTGGCTATCCTGTTCAGAGCAGTTAAGGCTTAGAATTTAAATTGTAAACCTCAATATTTAAATAGAACTGCATATGTGATCTCTGACACCTCATTTTCATGAATGGAAAAGAATATTCTGACACCAAAATTACATACTTAATTCTGCCTCACCTTCCTCACTGACCTCCATCCCACACTGCCTTGGGTTTATTTCCTCACCCATCAATGGGTCAAAGTAATTTCTGCTGTATTCATTTCCTGTGGAAAGCACATGAAGTAAGGGTCAGCGATTATTAGAAGCACATGAACTAAAATGTTAATTTTGAAATCGACACCAGCAAGCAAAGGGGTATTTTTTGCTACTTTACAAGCTTAATTTTTTTAACAAGTCCTCTAAGCCTACTGGTACTGCAATCATCTTGTGAAAGGTCAGAGAAGGTAATTGTGAAAACAAGTGCACTTTATGTTACTTTTTCTCAAGAACTAGTGAAAAATAATTCTCACATTTAGATGGCAGAAAGATAAGAAACATTTCTACAAATACAGCATCCCCAATATAAGTCAAATTATTCTTGAAGCACACCATACGAGAGAATTTTCCATACTGCAAAGGAATTTGTATTTCACAGCTGACCTCTCCAATTTCAACAGTTTTAAATTTCACCACTGAGGTTTCAACGTCTGGTGCATCTTTAATACTGTATTGAACCAGAGAAGTGTTTAATTACGGAGGAGATACCAGGATACCGCCTCATTAATCTGACCAGCAATTATGTTCAGTTGGACTAGGTAACTAATACACGATTTTGATGGGATAAACCCACTCATTTTAGTACTTGGCTATTTTAACAGCTACTTTTATCTGTTCTTCAGAAAATAAACAAATTTATTAAAAATAATTTGTTAGAATTATCATAAAATAATACAGCATCTAGCTGCCTGGAAGAACTGATGGTAAAAGCCAGAAGAATTTTCTTTACACAAGCAGGGAGGGAAGAAATTTTTTCCTCAAAATATGTGTTTTCTTCAGCGAAAATGCTACACTCTGTTAAAAACATCCACATGCTCACTGGGTTTGCAAACACTGTAAATTGTTATTAAACAGGGGGAAAAGAAGTAAAATAATTAAGTCCATAACAAATGTTTTAATTGCTTAAATAGACATAGTTGCATATCCTGGAAAATACATAAAAGCTAAATGCATGAGGGGGTTAATTCTTTCAAGATGCACTACTGTTGTCTACAGTGTATTTTTTTTAGGATCAAAAATAATCCAAGAAGCAGCTCCCTTTCAGAGACTAAATGAAACTTTTATATGAAACTAGGTTTAATTTATATTTCTGGACTGGCACATTTTGACTGTCAGTCTCTGTTCCTTCAATGTAGTAAGTACAAGAACTGAAAATTTGCTTTACCTTGAGGTCTCAATAAAGAAAAAATAAATGAGTTTCATTTTTGTTACTTTATCTGTCAACAACTACTAGGCTGGTATGAATCTTGGCAGTATGTAATCAAAGTCTTATGTACTGCAATAACAGAGCCATTCTACCTTATTCACTGTAATTGTTTTTCTCTAGCACAAAGCACCATGATGTTATATGAACACCCCTTCCCAAGTTGGTAAAATAATTCACCTATGTGCTGAAACAGAAAATGATGATGCATTTCTTTATTCAATTACTTCATAGCTGTAAATGTAAATTGCTGGCACATGTTTTGCACCCATGCAAACAATACTCGGCTATGGCACAGGCTTTTTGCACAATCTGACTATCACAACAGCCTTTGTGGAATTTTATTATCCCATGTGAGTCTGCTGTGAAACTTTGAGGAGTAGACTTTTGGGCAACTCTTCTGGACAGAATAATTGTTATTTAGAAGGAAGTGTCATGTTATATTTGCATCTGCAAGGCAGAATGGAAACCATTATTCAAAAAAAAAAAAAGAGATACATTAACAAATACCATTAAATAGCTTGCTCTCTGGTCCTCCTCAAAAAAAATAACAACCTCAACATTTTGAGGAGTATGACATATTTTGTCCAGGGCTTTGGCTCGGTCAGAACCACACACAGCTGGTGACAGACAGTTATGCAGAAGGAAAGAGAACCACCAGGCTTGATTTCTTTAGAGCAACATACACACTTTAAAACTTACATAAGCAGAACCAGTGGTAAACAACAGAATCACCTCCTCACAGTGATTTTATAGATAACAAGGCATTTTAAAATGCAGGACTCCACAGAAAACTTTAATTGAGGCTTTCAGAAGAGCTGAATCAATCAAACCTTAGGTCACTGCTCTGGATGGGGGATGTTGTTGTTTGTGGGTTTTCTTGGTTTTTTTTACCCCCTCAGCTCAACACACACCTTGAGAAGTGGTGTGACCAGAAGATTTGGGCTCTGGGCAGGCCCTAAAATTATTCAGGGGCAGTGGGAGTTGCTTTAGTTTTAAAATACAAAATTATCAATTTTAGTCAACATAACACACTGCCCAAGGCATTTTGCTAATAACATTTTGTGAGCATGTGAACAGATTACTAATCATTTCACATTTGCTTTTGGAAATATTTGAAAGTGTATAACATGTAAATTAACAATCCACTGAGGAATTCACATTGCTCTGCTTTGTGGTATAAACACAGTAAATGTTAATACAGAGCTTGCTTGTAGGTGTTTTGAACAGCACCATATATGTTGGTGCTTTCAACAGGGCAATATACTTTGACAACCTGCTCCCAAAAAGACTCGGCCAACTTTAGAAACTTGGATCTTTGCTTTGATCCAGAGATTCCCTCAAACCCATTAGCTCAATTTGAAGTCCAGTTCACCCCTCAAAATTGTGTTATTTCATGTGGAAAACACAATGGATAATTCAGGAAATCAGAATTGAAATGCAAACCCACAAATTATCTATATATTAAAATAAAAAAGGAAAGAAGGGTGTTGGCACAACAGTGACCAGATGGGAATTTGTACAGTTTAATTAAAGCAAGAGGAGTTGCTAATAAAATTAGCATAATCCTTGGATACAGCCCATGGGACTGTACACGAATTACTAGGACTGGATGAAACTTAAAAGATGGCTGTTAAACTAAGATGTCTGTAGTCAATTATGCCATCTATGTCCTGAGAATACCACACAGGAAAGGCATGACTAAGCTGAATTTCTATGTTGTCCTCTGCTCTGCAGAGAGATCAGGTAGTCTGTATCAATTACACATGAAAGGTATAGCACGGAATTTGGATAACAGGCCATTATTCCATTTATGTTGTATTACTGATCTAGGTTTTTAATTTAATGAAAGAATAGACAAAACTCTGTTGGATTCATTAAGTGCCTCCCAATTAAAGTAAAAATTAAGGAATTATCAATAACCAGATGACTGACTACTAAAAGCTTGAATAAACAAGAATGAAGCTTGATTTTCAAGATAAAAGAAAAAAAATTGGCACGAGCCATCTTTCTTTAGAAGACAGTATGTGGACAGTATGGTCTGCACAAACTTGCCATGATAAGCAACAAGTCCCTTTTCCGACAGCAGCGTGGTCAACAAGAGTCTACCAATGACTTGGGAGAACATTACTGGGCATTACCAAGGCAACTCCTAGAAGCCTTTTGCATCAGATAGAATAAGACACAGGCATTGTGGAAAGATGAAATTCCAGCCTGAGACAGTATTTTGACCCAAAGTGCTTTTGAAACATAGTGGTGCAGCTGGGAATGGAAAAGAGTAATCCTCCTTTTCCACGCCTGACTTAAAGCACTGATTTCAGCTGCAATTCCTATTAGGGAAGAGCAGAGCAAATACTCACATTCTCCATTCAACAGAACTGGATTTATTTCCCTGGGAATAATCTTCATTTTACTTAGAAGACAAGGCCCTTTGGGCGGCCCAGACTGAAGGCTCTGTGATGATGTATTTCCCCACTTCTTTATGAGAGCCAAAGCAGTGTCCCAGGGTCAGACTTGATTGTCCTCAAAAAAAAGTGACCTCCTCAGCTTGGCCAGGAAGAATCAAGACTTGGGATTAGAAGGAAGGCAAAGCAAGAGTCCCACTTCCAGCATTTCCAGCTACTTCACTTAGCTTTCCTCCAGGTCATGATGGGTTATGTGACTAGCAGTCCCACCCACCTGTTTTCATGATTCAGACCCTACATTGATAAAGTTTAATATCTACAAGTTGCTTATTTGAGCCTTTTATTCTACTTTGTACTTTGAAAAAATCTATAAAGAACTCTAAAAAAAAAACCATTCAAAAGGATTGAAGAATAAGAGAGGAGAAAGAAGCCTTTCACTTAAAAAGAATTTCACAGAATGAAGAACCAAAGAAAAATCATCAATGAAAACTGCATAAATAGTAGGAGTTCCTGCACAGTGAAAAATTGAATCAGTTTCCAGTGAATTTATAAGTTCTTACTTCATATCAGCAGTGACTTAAAAATGGAAAATAATGTAGGAAAATATGAAACTTTCACAAGAAAAAAAATCTAAGATTTTACTCCAAAGTTTTGTGTTGCTAGAATTACTCATATCGAAATGTTATGAAGATGCTAAGAATAAAACTACAATCTTGTAGAACATAGTGAATTAATATGCAGTCCATAAAGCAGTGTTTACTTGCCATTCTCATTTGTTTTCAAAGAAAAAAAAAGAATTAACATTAATCAGAAGCTATACTTTAATTTGCACTCTTAATTATTATTGCTGACTCAGGATATTGGTCACATTTACCTCAGTTCATGTCCATTTGAGATATACATATCTAACATTATTTTCTATATTATATGTATAAATAAATATTTTTTATGTAGATCTAAAATAAGATTCCAGAGGGTGCAATTTTATTTCAGAGTATCAAATATATGGAAGAGTGGTAGGGATTTTTACATAGAATTTCTAATTTTCATTAATAGTACTCAATAAAAAATTGCATGTTAATGGCACCTTCATACTGAAGAGCATTTCACCAGTGACTGGACATTAGATTTTCTCTTGAAGACACAGCTCGTTAAACACTACTAACACCAGGAAACTTCCCAATTAAAAAAAAAAAAATTAAAGGTATTGCGTGTCATTCTCCTTATCCTCAGCAGACACCATAGGTAATGAGGAAATCAGATAACTGTGTCTAAATGTTCATATTCCAAGCCTTGAATAAACTCACTTGTCAGCTTTGATGGGACGCTAGCGAAGGGGCAGTTCCTGAGGCTGAGCAGTGCAGACGGTGCTGCACCTGCCCTGACCCCTGAAAAGCAC